CGTGGAGCTAATATTGCTATAGTATGACAGCAAGTAAACCCGGAAAGCCAAAGACCATAAACCGCAGATCACAATGAACAGGAAAAAATGACGTAAGACGTTACTATGGCAACATCAGAACCCTTGGTATGCGAGCAAAAATTTCATTTAAAATATCATAACTCAGTAACCAAAGACTGAATTTTTTTAAAATCCGGAATATTTAAACTTTGTATCGTAATCTTCTTTTTTACGAGAAAAGAAAAAATTTTGTAAAAGGGAATTAATCGTAAAAATCAATAAAATTTGTTTGAAATTGTTGCCTCTTACACAATTTTTAAAAATCGTCCATAAGTTTTCGAAAACACAAAATAAAGCCCTTTACAAGATTTAAAAAGATATTCATCGCAGAGGTTTTGTTTTATTTCAGTTTAAATATTGAAATATTAAAATATCAAATATCAAATATCAAATATCAAATATCAAATATCAAATATCAAAATTTTTGAAGACAATTTATTTCTTTTTCAAGTTGTACGTCATCGGACCTAGAGCGCGCGCCAACCCTTTCGAGCCTCTTTAAGATGACTTACCCACTAGCTGTAATGCTTTCCTTTCAATATATCTCTGTTGTATCTTTATCGGTGGTTTTGTGTGAGATTTTTTTTTTGCCGGTAAGTTTTGTCTCTAGTCTTCGATCTCTAGCCTTCGTGGTGCTCGACTTTAAGTCTGGTTTATACGGTATGTCAACCAGCGCAATTTCCTTGTTCTGACCCCCACTTTGTTTGTAAGGTTGTATGTAATAGACTGTGATTGGTTGCTAGACTAATTTATTCTTACAATCGTTCTTATTGGTCTGTGAAGTTGCATCCCGAAGTCGTGGTATATGAGGGAATATTTTGGTAGTCGCGTGTAAATATTTTGACAAATCAATAGATTTTTCTGGCTTATGTTGAATATTGGATATTCCATTCTATGGATGTAGTCTTATTGTTTTTTGTTTTTTGTTGAATTTAATTTCCAGAGGCGTTGGTTTTACTTACATAGAAGGAGAGTAAGATGTATTGACTTTTTTCACCGTTGAATATTCCTAGTAGGTCAATTTGTTTGATTCACACACATGGGCCGGCCACTAGAATCAAAACAAAATTTTGACTCCATACCAAACGACTCAAAATGACGTCATTCGTAATATCCTTGGGGCAAAAATTGCCTAAGACCCATTTCGAAGTTAATTCATCGATAAAAAGCTTTGCGGATTTCACTGATTTACCTATTAAGTCGTGGATGCTATTGATGGCCCGCATGTAATAATGAAAGTCCGAATCGAAATTGCACCACATTATTTTAGTAGATACCAACAACCTGATGTATTTCTCAATTTTGCTTGTGGTTTGTCTGATAGCGTGCGTGACGAACAATTAATTGATATTGTTGAGGCGAAGTACTTGATTCTGAAGTGGGAGCAGAACAAGGAGACATGCTACAATCATTGCCATAATTAGTTGGCACGCTTGACAGATTTCAGTATTAAGAGGGTACTTCGCAAATACTACCTAGGACGAAACCCCCCTCCCCCCGTACAATGTTGGGGTTCCTGCAAGTTGGCAGAGGGTTTGTGAGTCTGATCAGGGGTACCAACTTTCGTTCAGGGAACGACAACATTGTACAGGGGGGAGGGGGAGAGCACGACAGAGGAAAGCCATTTTCTGTATTAGCCAAAATGTGCCATCGTGCCAAGTATTTTGGCAATGATTGTAGCTATTAATCATACAGTGAATATCAATGGGAGTGAAAAAAGCCCCCTACCTTCTTAGCGATAGCACCTACTCACTCTGGTTGGCTAATGAAAACATTTCCCGAAGTCACACGGGACCAAGACGAAATTCGGTTTAACGAACGCTTTTGGTATTCTTAAAAATCGATAGGGTATTCTTCAGAAGCGTTTTGACAGCAATATACAGTTTGCTATACGCTTTTGGTATTCTTAAAAATCGATAGGGTAGTCTTCAGAAGCGTTTTGACAGC